CAGCTACAGTATAATCTGCTGTTCTCCACTCTCCCTGATCACATCCATGACGAGTATGATGCACATCTTGCCTCCTTGTTGCAAGATACAGCAGAAGATGCTCCCCCTTCATCCTCTCTTCCAACAGAGCCTCATTCATGAAGTTTTTATTTGCTTCACTGAGAGGATGGTTTGGGGGGGAAAGTTGCAATCCCCTATGCTCCTGTCACCCCACAGACCCCCAAAGCTTGACCCCTGTTGACATCTGACTCACCCTGTCTGCTTTTGGATGTACTATATTGCCATCAGATCAGCGCTGCCTCTCTGTCATCCCACCTTGGCCTAGAAGCGATCTCTTCAAGATGTGACATGCACAGCCTCCCCCTAATGCGATTCCAGTGCGCTTTCCCAGTTCCTGACATTGCTTGACTCATACTTTGACATTCTGACTGTCTTTGACTCACCTATTGCCAATACTTACCAATCTTTTGACTTTGCTTACTGATTCTTCGCTTTTTGGCTTACTTATCCTTACCAATGCTTACCAATGCTTTCCAAGACAATTACCCATCGCTTACATTCCTTACTCATCAGTTACCAATCACTTACCAAGTGTTTGCACCTTGTTTTCCATAGGCAACGCCCCTGTACTGTATATAAGTCACTGTACTTAGGTAGCAAAAAAAGAAGACATCAGAGAGCCCCTCTTGCTCGCAATTTATCATCTCTCAGTAAATCATTCATCAGCTTCAATAGTTGAGACTTTATTAAGGGTCTAGCTATCATCTACTTCGCTTATCATCATCTATCCTCCATATACTTCACTCCAAGCCCTCCCTGAGCTCAGTACAGCTTAGGACATCAAATTAAGTCACCATCCATCCTTCTGTAGGCTGACAGCAGTCTACCCTATCGCTTTCTATCACATTCTTGCTCCCTCTTCATCAGGAGCACCCCCAACCCTCAGCACTCATCTTTGAGTGTTGTAGCTCACAAAAAACCTCCCAAAGAACAGGTTCTACCATCTAGGTACTGCATAGGCACACCACCACTCGCTTTCATTGTCATTTGTGTTGGTTTTGGTTGGTTTTCACCACTGAACCACACTTTGACTCACAGCGCGCGAGGTGGGAGACTACGGGCCAAACTTGTCATAACCCCTATGGCTGAGTTATCATGATAAAGATTCTGTCTGCTGGTGAGTCCCTAAGGTTGTTCATGCAGAGAGCAAACCAGAATAAAGTGAAGGGATGAAGCTCAGTTGCAAGCTATCGAAAAACTGCAGATACAGGACAGAGTATGTAGGATTATATACCCCTAAGTACGAGTACTGTACCAGTTGTGAGTGACACATCACGATGCGTATCTGCAGTAGTCAATGAGTTCATCAATGAAATAGAATCGAGTCATACGGTGTCAAAGATGGAGGTAGACAAGGAAACGAAGGCTATACCAGCTGCGCAATCAATGCGCAGCGAGGAGCCAGACACCAGATCTATAGTACAACATATGAGCAATATAAACGAATCAGAGACGAGTCAACGGAACAGGAAGTGAACAAGTCGTCCATCAGAGAGGGTGGTGGGATACCAGATCACAGTGGCAATGAGGTCTTGACAGGTATTGGAAATACCTTGACAGTGGGAGATCCGAACGTTCCCTGGAGCATCCGAACTCCTAGGATGGCAACTGTTATTAGGGATGCGACAAGGCATGTGATGCACGTGACCGCGAGAAGTCGAAAAAGGAAAGACCCCTGATGGAAGCATAACAGCATCATGCTCTGCATCCACGTCTGATGGAATGCTCTCTGGTGCTCATATCTGCCCCACAAGACCATTGTTTGCTAGGTCCCTGTGATGCCAGCACTGCTGCTTGAGGCTAAGAATTTTTCTGCATGTTGGGAGACAATGACACTGTTTGCAATAGTTTTGACCAGGATGAGTCTTCACCCTGCACTTGTGCTGCATCATGACAGCACCACAGAAGTTGTATGTGCAGTTTAGAGACTTAGAGACTTCACAGAATTTTCATGTTGTCTGAGCACATGACTATCATGTGACCTACCTCACGAGCTGTTTCACATCTTCCCTTTCCACCCCTAATGGTTGTTAATTCACGATGGTCAAACCACCCAAACCATATAATGCGAAGCAAGCACTACAGCTATCAACCATCAGTCAAGCAATTGCTTCACTACAAGAACAATTGGACTTGTATACTCATAAGTCAGATCTTGTGCTGTGCACCATCTGAATGATTGATTGCATTTATCTTTGTACATAGGAAACCAGCACACTGATTACTTGGACTGTCACAAACAGAAGACTAATAGAGAACAGGACTCCTTGATAAATGGTAGTAGTCAGGATTTGATTCCTTGACCAAAGGGCCACCCAGGATGAAGTGATGGAAAGGGCTACAGCATTGTCAAAGCAATGGGCCTCTCAAAGAAGAAGGAATTCTTTAATCACCTAAAGGTTGTATTTTTTTTCATATGTGATACTGATCTTGCTGATAAAAGTAGCATGGTATTTGCAAACTCACAAACCAGAAACTTGATATGAGTCAAATGATAATGCAGCAAAAAAACAAGCTACTCATCAAGAAAGTTATTTTTCAGGTACATCATTGTCATATATATGCATATATGCATTATAATCTCTATGTAGGCGCAATTAGAATACAAGATATTCCAGAAATACAAGAACATGTGGCCAGTGCAAGATCTATTGGTGCAATATCTGTGCAATAGTTTGCAATTAGAGAAGAAAGCTACATCAAACCTCAAGGTGTGTGATGCAATAAATGATTTTATTTGATTCACCAGGACCCATTGCAACCATATGAAACACAGCACAGGATTGGGAAATGAAAAGCAGAAGAGATTTGTGGTGACAAAGAATCAGATATTTGGGATGCTAATGAGGATGCATTGTGAGTCAAAGTGTGGTTCAGTGGTGAAAACCAACCAAAACCAACACAAAAGACAAAAAGAGCAAGTGGTGGTGTGCCTATGTGGTACCTAGATGGTAGAACCTTTGATTTGGGTGGGTTTTTGCAAGCTACGACACTCAAAGACAAGTGCTGAGGGTTGGGGGTGCTCCTGATGAAGGAGCAGGAATGTGAGAGAATGTGATAGGGTAGACTGCTGTCAGCCTACAGAAGGATGGATGATGACTTAATTTGATGTCCTAAGCTGCACTGAGCTCAGGGAGGGCTTGGAGCAAAGTATATTGATGATTGACAAGGATAAGTGAAGTAGACAATAGTTAGACCCTTAATAAAGTCTCAACTATCAAAGCTGCTGAATGAATTACTGAGTGATGATAAAATGCAAGCAAGAGGGGCTCTCTGATGTCTTCTTTTTTTGCTATCTAAGTACAGTGATTTATATACAGTACAGAGGTGTTGCCCTTGGAAAGCAAGGTGCAAACACTTGGTAAGTGATTGGTAACTGATAAGTAAGGCATTTAAGTGATGGGTAATCATCTTGGAAAGCATTGGTAAGCATTGGTAAGGATTAGCAAGCCAAAAAGTGAAGAATCAGTAAGCAAAGTCAAAAGATTGGTAAGTATTGGCAACAGGTGAGTCAAAGACAGTCAGAACATCAAAGTATGAGTCAAGTAATGTCAGGAACTGGGAAAGCACACTGGAATCACATTAGGGGGAGGCTGTGCATGTCACATCTTGAAGAGATCGCTTCTAGGCCAAGGTGGGATGACAGAGAGGCAGCACTGATCTGATGCCAATATAGTACATCCAAAAGTGGACAGGGTGAGTCAGATGTCAACAGGGGTCAAGCTTTGGGGGTCTGTGGGGTGACAGGAGCATGGGGGATCACAACCTTCCCCCCAAAACCATCCTCTCAGTGAAGCAAATAAAAACTTCATGAATGAGGCTCTGTTGGAAGAGAGGATGAAAGGGGAGTGTCTTCTGCTGTATCTTGCAACAAGGAGGCAAGATGTGCATCATACTCATCATGGATGCAATCAGGGAGAGTGGAGAACAGTAGATTATACTGTAGCTGTCACAATCTTGGAAGAATGACAGACAAGACTGGTATAAAGACATTGTAGGGAGCAGGGAGGAAGGATCCATATGCTTCTTGGACTGGAGAGACTGAAATGACCACATAAGACCTTTCCAAGTGAATGACAGACCTGAAGCAACCAAAGAATGTCCTCCTAGAGGTCATACTGATGAAAAGAACATGCTGTCCAAGCTGGATGGGCTGAGAGGGGGCAGATGAGGGTGGGATGTACCAGGATGCTTCAGGATGGAAGCTGGTAGGAATTCCTGGTAGATATATGTAGCCATGGTCCCTAGCAAAGGGGACAAGTGAAATGATTGATGTAGAGGTGGCCATATCAGGAGAATTAGCAAAATGAGCATCTTTTGGAGGGAGTGCTGTAGAAACATGTGGAGTGCACAAATCCTTTCCAATTTTGGAAGGTAAGATCGCATGGCTGAGCACTACAAGCGAGTGTGGGAATGGTCTCAGTATCTGCAGAAATGGCAGAGATATGTTGAAAACTGGAATGCCATACATGGGTGCTTAAGAATTTTAACCAGTGCTTAACTCACTCTCTTTCTTTTTCTTTGGCACTGATGACTTGTTCTTGTGCAAGGGATGACTGCCAACATTTCTGGCTGTCCTTCTTTGCATGAGGGCTATGGTCTTCATCTCCATTCATCAGCTGTATCCATGTCCACCTCACCAAACACCTTTGGTGTGTGACAGCGTCCATCATTGACTTTGATTGTCTGCACTCAGAAACAGATAGCCTGAGTGAAGCAAGTGATGACAACATTGGTGAAGACCCATCAGAAGATGGGCACAACAGCAATGATGACAATGAAGACAATGACATGGTGCCAGTCAAGAGAAAGTCTACAAACCTACCAGCCTCAGAAGTATGTGGCAAGATATCCAAGTCTGGCACATGTGGATCATCAGGTGAGTAGCATAGATTATTTGTTATGTACTAATCATCTACAGACCATTGTAACAGATCATAATGAACATCCAACTCATTCTTGAAAAAAAAAGTGCAAAGAAGAATCAGAAGATGAGCATGGTGGTGAAAGTGATGAAGATGATAATCTGGCACCAGTCAAGAGAAGATCCATCACACCAGCCTCACTGGAACACACTAAGCATAGCAAGATGTCCAAGCCCTCTGGGTGACTATTGGGTGAGCTTCACAGATCAGACCTCATATGTCACTAACTCTCATTCTCTCATCTCACTAGATGATAGCAAACTTCATCTGCAGAAACAGTTGTGGGAGTGAGCTGACATTGCTGAAAAGCAAAAGGCAGTAATGGCCAAGCCTGGCCCCAAGGCAAATGAGTATAGCAAGCTCAATGACAGTGTAGGAAGTGTTACCTGATGTTCAGTCATACTCACCAAAGCAGAATGCTCGAGCAACCAAGGCACCCTCAAATTCAAAGGTATTCTATGTGGGCTAATGACACACCTGTACTGACACCAGCATTACAGACCACTGTAGGACACTCTATCAAGATCATGAATGTGAGATTGCCTCCAAGTGAGGATGAGGACAAGGATGACACTGATTATCACAACCTCACTGCCACTGATGACTGTCCCATCACAAGTCACCAGCTGCCAAAGATGTGTCCTGGAATGGACTGCAAAGATGCGATCCCTGACAGTATTTCCAACCAGCTCAAGACTGCCTTGTCCACCTACATTGGCCTCATCAAGGAAAGGAAGACCAATATTCATTTGGGGATGGATATCTGTATTTTAGTGAAATGAGAGCACCATCAGCTCAAAGCCCTCAAGGATGCAGAGGCAAAAGGTTGGCCAGCCATGAAAATCAAGTTCAAAGATATTCCCTCTCGCATTTTGGAAATGTATGATGAACTCGAGAAACTCTTGTTTGATGTGGAAGCACATGAGAACCTCTGGCTCTGCACCTGTTTTGAAGCTGACCTTGAAGTGAATCATTACACATTAGCACAGTTTTCTTGAATGCATGTCCCTCCAATGTCTTCAGCAATATGGGAAAACTCATGCTGCAGGTAGTAAGTAGTCTGCATTATGTTCCTTGAGAACATTTAAAACTGATGACATCACAGCTACAGTTTGAAAGGCACTGCAATTGTTATGCACACACTACTCCAGCTATTTCCACCAATGATGTCCACTGATGCTTTTCAGCCTCTCTCACTTTTGCAGTACCTAACCTACTTTGTAATTCCCCATGTCATCTGTCAGTTTGTCACTCAAGACTTCAGCCTTTTGTTGACCATGCCCACACATAATATCATGGTAGAAAGTAACAATGTTGGCAAACTGATCAATCCCAAGCATGATGATGACAATGAGCTCGATCAGATCAAACATGCAATAACATTTGCTCTTAATCAGAGAAACCTTGAGGGCCAAACAATCCATGATGCTGCAAAGGCACTGGTTGCACTTCAGTATGCAAAAACAACTGATGTTCTGGGCACAAGTGGCATGCATTTTTTACTTTGATCTCATAGAGCTGACAGCAATAGGATCAGTCAAATGCTTGCCCAAAACCACATCTTGTGCTTCATCCACCAAAGGAGGGAGCCCCTTGCACATCTAGTGTTTTGGGTCAGCAAGAAACCATTCAGGTCCATTGAAACATAGCAATCTGACTACAGAATTACTACACACCACATTTCAACCATCCAGGTCACTGCAAGCACTAGTGGTGCTTGCATAACCACAACTATGAGTCATTCTCAAGTACTGGGGAAGAAGCCTCATGGCTGGTGAAGTAAGAAGGCCCTGAGGCAGTTGAACAGGATCCTCAGGCTGGGGACACTGCAGTGGTGGTAAACCCACTCTCTTACCTCTTGGTTGGCTTGCTAACAAGGTCCATCCTGACATAATTCAGACACAGGCTCGATGTGCACCCCAAAGTGCATGATCAAAACATTAGGTCCACATCTAAATCCTCCTCCCTCACACATTTTCAATTGCTGCTGCTCAACCACTCTCATTTGGCTATCATTGCACTGCCAGTTGCTCCTCCTCAAATTTCAATCACTTTTGCCAGACTGTTTTCATTTCTATCACTACTGTGTTGCTCAGTCTTGTTAGCTCCTGCTGGACTTGTGACAGATTACTGACACTTTCATGGAATACCCTGTTATATGACTGTGCTGTAGGTGTCTCTGTAACCTCAGGTAGCATTTGAAATTGCAATTTTGTGATTTGCCTGGTTATTTCCATGGCAAGTGGGACATGTGTAAGTAAGCATGAAAATCTGTGCTAGTGAAGTGGAAAATGAGCACTTGCATCAACTTATTACAGTGTCATGACATGGAAAAACAACTACAAGGCACTGTTATTCAGTACTTATGACATTTTTTTTTCAGTGATGAAGACACTATTTTTTACTAGACCAGATGGGCACTTCAGCATCACATTATGATGCTGAAATTCAATGACAGATACTGATCTTCAGCTGTTCCAACATTTATTTTTAGTGATTTTACTTTTTACAGTGTCCATCTACACATGGGTGGGAGACCCTCTCCATCCTCTGCATTCTGTCAGGACCAACCATGCATGCAAAGATCATGCCATTTAGGCATGGAGGCCATACTAGTGACAGTACACCCACATCCCACAGTCATCAGAGCACATCATCCCAGCTGCATGAGGAAGGAAATGCAAAGACTCTGCATCATCCAATTAGTCCTGTGAGGCTAAACATACACCTAAAGCAACCATGCTAAACCATGTGGGCCATGGTGTTTTGCAAAGCTGGGCTGTCATTGTGGGTGGTTGGTCCTCCTTGGACATTCCGATGACTACTACAGTGGGTTGTCAGAATGGATCTGCTACTTCATAATTTTCTCCTACTGCACATCTGTGGCGGTCCTCAACCATCAATATATCAGCCTTCGCTTTGTACACAGTTATGGGTGCTGTCTGAGTGGATAGAACAAGGCCAGAACCTCAGGAGGTCAATATGAACAGGAAGTAAAGGCCCACAAAATCATTGAAGTCACTGCCACCAAATATGCCCAAAAAGAATTTAATGGCAGCCCCACAGGTCACTACCCCACTTGAATGCCCTGGCTTATACAACTCTGTCTAGGAGACATTCATGAGCCACAAACTGACCAGATGTGAAAAGGAATTAATAGGAGACTTACCCATCCAACTAAAACTGAGAAGTTATGTCTACATAATCAGGTAATATAAGTACCAGCACTACCAACTTGAACAAGCATTGCACCTACATTATCGCCTGGAGCATCTCCATGACTTCGCCATGTTCTAGACATTGTTGATCAGTCAGTTTATTGGGCTGCAAAAATGTATGTGTTATTAAGTAATGCACAGAGGGGGGTCCCAATACAGAAAGCACACTCACATGATGTACTTGGGACCCAAGCATGCCAGGACAATTGGTTATATTGATCGCAACGATACAAGCCTCCACCCTCCAATCATTATTAACCATAACAGAGACATCTTCAATAGATCGACGAAGGTGGATATGCCGGGTAAATTTTCTGGGGTTCTTCAGCTGACTGTTGAACAGTATCTCCAAGGCTTGAAACCGCAAGAATGCCATCTTGCATTCCAAATTCTCTGGACGACCCACCCTGCAGGTGTTGACGAAACATTTCTGGCACTGCGATTTCTCCAGGTCGTCTGGTGAAGTGCAGTTGCTGAAAACGACGACACCATGCGATGGGTACTCGCATTGGCTCACTGAATCTTTTGGTTGATAAGTGACCTTTATCTGTCTCCTGGCGACCCCTTGTAGATGCTGTGTTTTCACGCTGGTGTATTTGTCCGCCATCCCGTAACGATTTTTCTAGACCTCTTTCACCGCGTGTGACTGGTAAGTTCATCCTAATCTCCTCTCATCAGGATCAGGGACGGCTCCTCTTCCACCTCCCCCGTTTCTTTCGTCACGCGTGCCTGCACATCTTCCATTGTCCTTCAACGGCAGAATTCACGCCACAGATTTCCGCCTCACATGTGTAGTTGAGGGGGTGGCACCCATACAACCACCGTATACCCAAGTTTATCGACTTGCTCGAACTTTCCAGCTTTCGCCCATCGATAAACCTCTCGGCCCTGCCTCGAAGAGAAATAAGGGTCACAAAACCTAAATGCTTCAGGCAAAAAGGTAGTTGGAGACTTCCCTCTACGGCCTAGGTGCGCCCACATCATAGTTGGCAATTTCATGTCGATCGAATCCGTGCCAGATATAATTCTAGGGGACATGCAGCTGCCAGCTTCGATGTGCATTATGCCTAACACGAGGTCGTCAAGTGCCCGTCGAATTTCATTCATAGGCATCGATAAACCGCACTCCTGGTGCCGCAAATACCTATCGCGTTAATCCTTCCTTTTGTTTTTGTATGCGCAAACAAGTGCGGGAACCGGAAGGACAAGGAAGAATGCTGACATTATCTCTCTCGTATTTGCCATACCACAAAATCAGAGCACGTGTGCACCTTGTCCTACGTATAAAGGGAACATGTAAAGCGAGCGATGAAAGGCATCGACTCATCATACCGTATCTCAGGTACATGCATGAATTTCCCTGCTACGCAGACACGTCTGACAGACACTCTAGCTGTGAAACTATAACATGTCCGACTCGAACGCTTCTTGACTCCGCTCCGCGTGGCACCCCGACTAGGACCCCGAAAAATTCCTCGACCCCGTTGTGCTAGCCACAGAAGCAGAGCCCGTCGCTGCCAACAGCGACGTACAGAAACGTCATTCTAGAACGCCAAAGCCCACCCCTGCACGCACTCTCCCAGTCATGCAGGAGCCGGAAGACGCTCTCACACCCGCCGCCCACGACCTCAACAGGGCGAACAACCCTGAGGTCTAACTCCCACGCCATGCCAGGACCCCAGGCAGCACCTCGCGTGTCAGGATCCACTCTGCACGGCAAGACCACCAGAAGCAGTGGACTACCCATCGAAGACATCATCAATGACCCAGATGCAGAAATAAAAGACACAGACTCAGCAAGAAAATTCCTAGACCAGCTGTACACTGTACACAGAGACCCGATAACGCCAGAACACCTGTCCCAAGCCCTGTTCTACATTTCGCAAAGCAAAACGGTGAACAGCACGACACGATTGGCCATTCGAGCTACAGCATATCTAGTCAGAGACCTAGCAGTGCCGGCAATAGCTGAATCTATAACCAAGGCAGTATCGAGCAAACTAGATGCCTCAGTCCTAATCGCCATATCACCGCACATTGGCAAAATCATGTCAACCGCAGAGAAACTCGAAACCGCCAACGAACAAATCACAACACTAAGCGCTGAGATTGCCAAGAACACTGGAACCCATGATACCACTGCAGGCGACACGAGCCTCGAACTCCTCGAAGGTAAGGTACAAAAGCTCACTGGCGACGTAGGGTTGATCAAAACTGCAATAGAAGAAGTCAAAGACCACCTCAAAACCCAAACACCCCCAGCACCGTTCCCAACACCATACAGAGATGCCCTAGCCATGTACACTGCTAATCTGAACCAGATCCCACTGGGCAAATGCCCAACACAGGAACATGCTAAGGCCCACGCTGCTATCAGAGACAGACAGATACTGATTGACCCTGACAGAGATCACCCAATATTCAACAATTCCACCAAGAGAGAGACAGCCATCGACCTCATCAAGCAAGCGATAGAAGCAGTAGACAGGGTAGATGGCCCCAAAATCCAACTGAAATCAATCGCCTGCCTACGAAACAACAGCATCCTCCTCGAACTCAACAGTCAAGAAGCTGCAGCATGGATCAAAAAAGTCCCCAACAGAGCTACCTTCCTGGAGAAACTAGGAGGCACGACCACGATCAAAGACAGGATGTGCAGCATCATAATTCCATTCCTCTCAACCGTGACTGACCTAGATTGCCCTGACATGCTACATGAAATGGAAACTGAGAACAACATCCCGACAGGTTCCATAAGCCAGATCAAATGGATCAAAGACCCGACCAAACAATCCCCCAACCAACATGTAGCACATGCACTAGCAGCCTTTGCCTCTCCCGAGACAGCTAACCAGATCATCAGGGATGGACTCTACTGGGGCCTGGACAGGCTACATCCACATAAGGTCAAAAAGGAACCAATCCGTTGCCTCAAATGTCAGCAAATAGGTCATCTGGCAAAAGACTGCAAACAAGAAGCAGACATCTGTGGCATATGCACTCAACTCCACTGTACACAGACATGTAACTCACCCACTGTATACTGTGCAAACTGCCAGAGTGACACCCACCCCAGCTCAGACAGAAACTGCCCTGCTTTTATCAGAAAATGCAATGCCATGAATGACCACACCCCAGAAAACTGCATGCCCTACTTCCCCACTGCAGATGATTGGACCCAAGTCAAGCTCCCCCCACATCCCACAGATCCCATCAGGCAAACCAGACCCCTGCTAATGCAACCAGCCCCTCAAGGCCAAATGAGACAAATGACACTGGGTGAAGTGATGCATTTCCGCACTGTCACCCCAAGACGAGGCCAGAACATCAACAGAATATGCGGAGGCAGGGGAGGTCCCACTCCCCATAACTTAGGACTGTACCACCCACTCCCCATCCCATGCCCACAGCAAACCCAATGCCAGCAGACAACCCCCCCCCCCTGACCCTCTTGAATGATGAACGACAACTGACAACAAGATAACGCCCTAAACAACCTATGCATCTGGCAACAAAACCTTAATAACTCCCATATAGCCCTACACTCACTTATTAACAGCCAAGCCATGGACGATTGGGACATAATAGCCCTGCAGGAACCCCCCATTGACAAAATTGGAAACACAAGAGCAAATACATGATGGAGAGTAGTATACCCATCATCAAAGCTAAACCAAGGTGAAAAACACAGAGCGGTAACTCTAGTTAATGCAAAGATAAGCACTAACATATGGGAACAGATTGCATTCCCATCGGCTGACCAGACCCTTCAGTCACATGTAATCCAGAAAGTGGGTCATCTGACATGCACATTTGGTCCTGAAAGTGGGACTAACTGACATTGGCCTATAGACCCTGATGGTGGATAGGCTGACATGTTGGAGGGAGGTCGGCCAACCTCACTGGGGGATGGACTCACACCCTGGAAGTGGTGTCGGCCAACCTCACTGGGGGATGGATCCACACCCTGGAAGTGGTGTCGGCCGACCTCACTGGGTGATGGACCCACACCCTGGAAGTGGTGTTGGCTGACCTCACTGGGCGATGGACCCGCACCCTGGAAGTGGTGTCGGTTGACCTCACTGGGGGATGGACCTGCACCCTGGAAGTGGTGTTGGCCGACCTCACTGGGCGATGGATCCACACCCTGGAAGTGGTGTCGGCCGACCTCACTGGGCAATGGACTCACACCCTGGAAGTGGTGTTGGCCGATTTCACTGGGGGATGGACACAGACCTCACCACCTGGAAGTAGGGTTGGCCAAACCGTGAAAATTCCCTTGGCATAATCAATTGCTTGTCAATTTAGATGTTACCAGAAGTATTGACTCTGATGACACTTCCAGATGGACATACCCCTTGAGACCAGTGTTGGCCAACCTCACTGGGGGGTGGCCTTACCCCCTGAATCCATGGCCATTCTTCACCTCCAGGTGATGTCAGTGATCTCACAGGGTTTGAAACTTGCAATGAGCATGGGTAGCCATATCTAGGGATCCTTTTGATTCACACCATCTACAGTTTATTTATAGACCAAGACCCAGAGCTCTCTTGGTTGGTTGACGAGCTCTGGTTGATTTCTTGCTTGCCTCTTCACCCTCCTTTGCCATCTTCTGATCAACATCCCCACTGCCTCCCCTTTTTCTTTTCCTCACATCCTTTCTTGTATTCCGGGATTCCTTCATGCCACCCCCCTGGGTGGGACAGGAATCCCCTGCACTGACCCCAGTTGTTTCCTGTGCACCAATCCCTCTGCTTGAGCCACCAGAATTCTGCTGCAGTCTTGCAACTACCAGCCCCACTGCACCCATAACATCTTCCCCCTTGTGGATATCAAGACCTGAGCCTAGCAAAAAGCCCAGATTAGCAGCTTCAGGGTCATCTGATTCTATGTCCTGTGCTCTTTTGCACTCCCTCCACAACAAACCAAATCCCAGTACAATGGTAAGGCCTTTCTGGGTGGATGCAAACTTTTCACTTTGCAATTGATACAGTGCCTTCCAGAAGGAATCCCCATTGCCATGCATCTCCTGGGGCAAATACTGGGCACTCCAGGCCCAAGATGCCCAGACAGGCAGGTTGACTTGTCCAGCATCAGGTTCCTGTACAAAATGTTTGTTAACCTGGTATTTGAAGAAAGTTTATCACTTACTGTCTCTGGCAAGCCATCTACAAGCTCAACAAGTTCCTGGTACCTGGGCATGATGCAAAGGGACTTTAAATATTTCACCCTGTCCCCATTGGCATGACAAGCAGGGCTGGATTCATGAGGGGTATCTTCAGATGGGGCCCTCCCAGAGTCAAGGATATCCTGGGCCCCTGATGAAGTTGCTATAGGGGTCATACCAGCCCCACCAATTTCTTCCCCTAAATCTGAGGGCTTGGCCTCCACCCCGGCTTCACTGTCCTCCCCAGGGCTCATCCACTCTCTCTTTTTGGATGGGGTTTTCCTGTTCCAGGGCCTTCCCAATGGCTTGTCCTCCTTTTTGCACTTGATGAATGAAACAATCACCTTATCCTCCTCCTCTTGGGAATTCCAATGATTCCAAAGCATCCACATGTCGGCCTTGGTCCATTTTGAAGGATCTTTCATCACAAATCCTTCTGGGATGGAATCGGAACTCAGATACTCCAAATGGGACTTGATAAGCAGGCCCCAGGGAACCTTGGCCTTGGGCTTCCCTGTAAACTTTGCTATGTTTCCAACTTCCATCAACAACTGTAGATGCACTTGACAATCAAGAACATACAATAGGCAGCCTGGAAGACCATTCTTGCCAAACTCTGCTGGACCTTGAGTTTCTGACCAGTCCAAGCTGGTACCTCTGGGTTTCCTTCATCATCCAAGGCTATCTCCACCTTTGGATTCTCATCATTCAAATCTTCCTCAGCTGAGTATGGAATCAACCTAGGTACACATATTACATTGATCACCAATGTTTATCACTTACCAGCTTCAGTCAAAAGATAATTGGTTAACATTTGCTCTCCCTTTAGAACCCAATCCTTGGTGGTCTCTGAAGACTCTGAGAAGGCCTTCTTCCCATCAGGGGGTTGTGTTTCAAAGCTAGGTTTCTTCATTAGCATTGGATAGACAAGGTAAAGGGGAACCTACACTGCCATCTTGATCTGAGAATCAGTAGTCTCATGAGCCAGAAACATCACTATATTTGACCCCATGGTCCTCCTGACTGTTTCAATAAAGTCTCTGGCCATGTTGGGAAAATTTTTTCTCCTGTACCTGAATTATTGCATGATTAGTATAAGACATTTGAAGTAGACCAGCACTGACAATTCATGAGTTTCTTTTGGAGCTCCCAACTTATTCCACTTGGAAGCAGCCCTCCCTGCTTCAGCCTTCTTGTCATCTGCAAGAGACTCCCACCACTGTTGGATGATTTTGGTACTCTGACCTATGGTCTTGGGGTCCTTGGTGTCCCTCCTCTCCCTATCATAGGCATCCATGTCCTCTTTGAAGAGCTGCTGGGAGGCAGTAAAATCAGTGAAGGGTTTTCTGTAGTTTCCAGCCTTGGTAGGTCTGGTCATCTCCTCTCTGGCATCCTCATCCTCACCAGTCCCAGGCTGCTCCTTCCTCTTGTCTGTTGCAGCCAGGATGCTCTCAATGATGTGTTCCTCATCATCCTGGTCTTCAGGGTCTAGTTCTGGCAAAAACACCCTTCTGATGGCCTAAATACACTTGAGATATGTGAAACTTGATGAAAAAGATACCCTACCACTCTCAAGTTCTGGGGCAATTCCACAGATCCTGAAGATGCTTGCTGAAGGATCTGGGATTTCACATCAGCCAGGATCTGGGCCCTGAGGTCAGGATTCCCTCGGGCATCTGTGTACTGCTCCACATAGGAGGACAGCAGATCAGAGTAGACTTCAGACCAATCAGCCATGAGAGAATAAAATCAGGGGGATAATTAGCAGCACAGATGATGGAGGTTGGAAGCAAGGTGAAAATTTTTCAGCCTTTCCCAATTTAGGCAGGATGTTGAAGTTTTTGGCCATCACTCTTTTAGGAAAGGTACCATTATGGTATGATTGTTTTGATGTATTTGCTATTCACTTTGATTCAGATACCAAGTGCAAAGCAAGGGTAATTGGAAAACTATACACATATACCCATGTTCTAAATACAATCCATTTGTTTACCTTGGAACATCAATTGGGCCTTTTTGGAAAAGTCAGTCCACAACACTATCTGCTAATGAGCATAAGCCTTTTTCCCTGGTTCCAACAATTGTAGAGCCCTTTGCTCCCACATGTCCTTCTGGAACTCAAACCATAAGATGGCCCAAACCATCTCATGCCTCACCAATGACAATTCTTCTTTCCACCTGTCCCTTCTTGCCCTTGCTTTGAGCCAGTTGATCCTGTAAACTGCCCCACAATTTATTGGTGAGATTTTTTTGAGTAGTATTAACACTTACACTCCTCCATTAAACCCCCCTTCTCAGCATTCAGTTGACCCTGTTCACCATCCATCATCCAAAACCATGCCATTTTGCTGGTTCCCTGCCCAAACTGGTTCTCCTCTGTAACATCCTTACTCACTGCCAGGTCCTGGGGCTGAATAGCCTGATATTTTTGTCCAATCTGTTGATTGGGTTCCAACTGGAGAATGGCCTGCCTTGCCCTCTGATAACTTCTGACCTGCTTGTTTATCCGAGCCACCACTGTTTGGATGTCCTGCTTGGTTCTTGTACCTTCCCTAGTTGATTGTGCACTGTGGAAGTTCTGCCTGTATAACATTGCCTTGTGTCCAAGGTTGGTTTGGAGCTGGTCTAGACAATCATTAGCTTGCCCAATCCTGAGTTCCATTTCTTCTTTGAGGAGGTCATGAAGGCCAAGCTCCATCAGTTTGGTTGCTCCAATGGATGAGGGCATCCATATACTCATGAGCTCAGCAGGTGGCTCCTCTCCTTCTTCTGTAGCCTCCAAATCCTCATCATCTTCCCAGTACTCTCAATTGTCATCAATTTCTTCACCTTGCCCAAGGAATGCTGGATCATCCTGGGGTATAAAGACACCATCCACCTCCAAACCTTTGAGAAATGCCTGGCTGGTGCCATGGAATTTGTCAATCCTGGCAGAAAGTCTTTTTCTTTTCTCTGAGACTTTGACTTCTTGTCTGGTAGACATGTGGCTCTGTCTAAGCTCAGATCTTAGCTGGTCCCTGCAGGTCTGGTTAGCAACCTATTGCTTCTGGAAACCACAGACCATACTGTGCATCCTCTATGCTAATTCCTTCCACAAGCCAAGCCACAGAACCATGGCTCCCTGGGGACACAGGTGGATTTTTCATGAGCTTTAACTGCACTTCAACTATGGTAGGGGCTACAGGCCATCAGACATGCCCAGGGTTTCTTAGGAACATACTGACCTTTTTCCCCTTTCAACAAATAAATGTCTAGGGAATCACCTTGATTTGCTTCTGCCTCAAGAACATCTATTCTCCACAAGGGACCTTGCTTGACTTGGGGGAAGATCCAGAATCCAGAAACCCAACTTAGTCTACTAGATACACCATGTTTCTTGAAACATCTAGTCATGTAAGCAGGGGCCTGGAATGGTGCAATCAAACTCAGCAGCAGTTGAACTCCAAGTCAATCCAGTCCAGCAATCTCTTGAGCATCATGGGAAACCATGGAACACCAATACTAATCTAGCAATCTAGCAACATCCAACAGCTAGGAACACATCCAGTCAGCATTTGAAGGGAAGATGTTGGGTTGCTAGTAATGCCATTGGAAAGCTCTTGAGCATCAAAGGGAAACCTTGCTTAAGAAGATCAGCCATGGAACACCAGTGCTAATCTAGCACCATCCACCAGCTAGGCAGACTGACATGAAACAATACACCAAGTCATTTGCTAAGGTTAGGGTTAGAAGGAGACTTGCATGAAAAAATACACCAAGTCTTATGCTAGGGTTAGGGTTAGCACATGTTTCATTCAAAAAAAGAGGCATAGATTCCCACACAGCATTCAAATACAATCAAAGCAGTGACATTGACAAGTCCATACATAAATTCAACTACAGTTACAATTTCAACTACAAAAGCACAATGGTTTCATAAGAAACCAAGGCTTGCCTGCATTCCAGAGGGGGCCCTCCTCCAGAAGTACAGTTGGGCCAATAAAAACTGCCCCCAATTCAACCAAGTTCCCAAAAAAGTGCACAAGAGATGATAACAAAGATCCTAAAAGCACATTAGCATCAACACAACTTTGCAAGGTTCACATACCTGAGGTGCACTATTCACCAGGAGACAAAGACAAACAGCTCTACAAGGTTTATGTCAGTACAACATAGATTATACAGAAGTTGAATACTCACTACACCAAAGCCTGACCAACTAGCTACTACCAATATATACCAACACATACCACACAAAAAAATGTCATAGGCTGACCCACACAGGTGGGTACAGACCAAATAAAACGTCATAAGCTGACCTACAATGTAGGTACAGACTAGCCCCCAGATCCCATATGAGCTGGCCTACAATGTAGGCACAGACTATTCCCCCAGACCCAACATATTACCCAACAACCAAAAATTGTGCTGGCCAAGCACAATCTAAGGTCAAGGGCAGCGCCCCTCCCTACATCCTGTAGCTGCAGACTACAGTCAATAGTGAGGCGCCAAGGATGCTGCAAAGTAACGGTAATCAAGTAATGTGAAAATTCTGGGATCAGAGGTGCCACTTACCTTATGACAGCCAAGACGATGGGCTGAGATAAAAATGAAGATGACATAGCACACAAAATGGGAGAGAGAGAGGGGGAAAGGGAGATGGAGATGGAGGGAGAGGGAGGATGATGGAGGGGAAGCATCACATCGCAGGGAAATGCAGTAAGGGAAAAAACATGCCACTGACTGGGGGGGATTTATATACTTGAGTCTTATGTACTGTTGTTTGGCGACAGTCCAACTAGTGAGGTCGCCATCAATGTCACGTTCTCGGCCTTGGCGTGTGTTCAGTTGCCATGAGTGCTGGCAACTTCCTCTGAGTCAGTACTGCGTGTCATACTATAAATCGTGAATAGTGATGTCATGTGACTCCACTGTCACCGGATTTGGCTTCTATATACTAAATACTAAATGTTCACTTGACATTCTCATAATTGCATTGTCGAGCCAAGCAAGCACTCCCTCGTGCCATTGGCTGAGCGGTAGTGGTGGCTTACCCTTGGGATTTCACAGAAAATGTATTGTAGTAGCACTACTGGATCATTTAATACATGTAGTCACTTATTGAAACTGGAAATTGGCCTAGCGGCGACTGACCACTCCATATATAGTCCTACATAATGTTCCAGAGATGCATCCGAAGTACGGGTAGACACGTGTGATAGTCATGACAGCCGTGACGTTGTTCATGTCACAATTAAGGTTGTGTCCAAGATTATCATAGGTCTCACTATGTGACCTGTCCAAAATTGAGATCTGTGCATCCAAGTATCCAGATTGACATGGTCTTTTGCTCCTCTCCTCTTGCCACACAGTGTCTCCCTCACCGACTGTCGTTGCGTTATCCCACTCTCTGGCCCCGCTGTGTCTCAGCGAAATTTTTGGTATGTCATCGTCCTCTGGATCTCTCATGCCTCTCCCTCTCTAAACACAAAATAGGTATGTCATGCTGCATCTCCCTTCAAAAAAAAAAACAAAAAAGGTATGTTGTTGAACCTCTCATGGCTTCAACACTCACATCACACACCAGGACACTGCCATTCTTCTCAGTCTATTGTGCATTGTTCAGTGTCCCATACTACTCACAAAGCCCATTCATTCAAAAAGAAGGTAAGTAGCTCGCAGTGTCCCTCTACAACTCACAAAACACCCCCCCCCTCTCGCCGGGTCTCATCCAAAAAACAGGTATGTCATCCCAGTGCATGGCATCTCTCTACCACTCACAGAACACCCTCTTGCCTTGTCTCATCCACAAAACAGGTATGTCGTCCTACTTCCCGGTGTCCCTCTACCACTCACAAAACACCCCCTTGCCATGCTTATCCAAAAAAAAGGAATGTCGTCCCAACTTTGCAGCGTCCCTCTACAACTCACAGAACACCCCCTCGCCATGCTTTATCAAAAAAACAAAAGGTAAGTCGTCCCAGGTCATGGCATCCCTCTACCACTCACAGAACACCCCCTCGCCATGCTCATCCAAAAAAAAGGTATGTCGTCCCAGCTTTGTGGCATCCCTCTACAACTCACAGAACACCCCCTCGCCATGCCTTATCCAAAAAAAAGGTAAGTCGTCCCAGGTCATGGCATCCCTCTACCACTCACAGAACACCTCCTCACCATGCCTCATCCAAAAAAAGGTATGTCTTCCCAGCTTGCGGTGTCCCTCTACCACTCACAAAACACCCACAGAACACCCCCTTGCCATGCCTTAACAAAAAACAAAAGGTAAGTCATCCCAGGTCACAGCGTCCCTCTACCACTCACAGAACACCCCCTTGCCATGCTCATCCAAAAAAAAAGGTATGTCGTCCCAGCTTTGCGGTGTCCCTCTACCACTCACAGAACACCCCCTCGCCATCCTCATCCAAAAAAAAAAGGTATGTCATCCCAGCTTCGCGGCATCCCTCTACAACTCACAGAACACCCCCTCACCATGCCTCATCCAAAAAAAAGGTACGTCATCCCAGCTCGCAGCATCCCTCTACCACTCACAAAACACCCACAGAACACCCCCTCACCATGCCTTATCAAAAAACAAAAGGTAAGTCATCCCAGGTCGTAGTGTCCCTCTACCACTCACAGAACACCCCCTTGCCATGCTCATCCAAAAAAAAAGGTATGTCGTCCCAGCGTTGCAGTGTCCCTCTACCACTCACAGAACACCCCCTCACCATGCTCATCCAAAAAAAAAAGGTATGTCATCCCAGCTTTGTGGCATCCCTCTACAACTCACAGAACACCCCCTCACCGTGCCTCATCCAAAAAAAAGGTATTTCGTCCCACATTGCAGTGTCCCTCTACCACTCACAAAACACCCCCTTGCCATGCCTCATCCAAAAAAAAAGTATGTTGTCCCAGTTCCCAGCATCCCTCTACCACTCACAAAACCCCCCCTCACCATGCCTCATCCAAAAAAAAGGTATGTCATCCCAGCTCATGGCATCCCTCTACCACTCACAGAACACCCCCTTGCTGTGTCTCATCCTACAAAAGGTATGTCGTCCCAGTTCCTGGCATCCCTGTACCACTCACAAAACACACTAGTAGGCTATCAATTCATATCTCCCTCCTGCCACACTGCATCTCCCTTGCTGTGTCTCATCCAATAAGGTATGTTGTTGGACTTCTACTTCATGGTGTCCAGATGATACTTACATATCACCCTCTTTGGTCTGCTTATCCAGTGCCCAGTGTTGTGTAGTTGCATACATTGGCTTCTCTTTTCCATAAATATGTAGATATCTATCCCTGCTGCATGATATATGTACTAAACTAAATGCATTTATTGTTATCTTACTGCTTGTCCCCTACACCTTCTGTGTCTTGTAAAGATAATGAGGTATGCTACTGTTCCCTTCTGTGTCATATGTTGCTGCCACTCACTAATGTTGGCATAATAGACTCAGATGGTGAAGACCAAGCAGACAGCTAAGAAGACCACTGGGGGTAGAGCTCCCAGGGTATCTCTTGCTGGTCTGAAAGCTAGGGAAAAACATGCTGCCAAGTCAAGCAAGGCCCATGCTAGGAAGGCCCCTGTTGCCAAGAAGAGAAGGATGAGGAACTTGGCAAGTCTCTTTTTATATTCCATCCATCTTTCTAACATTCTATGCAGTTCTGTGTGATGTGCAGGGATGGAGGGACATTGTGGCCTTGTGATCAGGCAGGTTGCAGAAGGGTAGTGTGTAACAAGTGTGTTGTAGTACCCAAGGATTGCCTTGCAGAGGTCACCCAGCTTCCTGTGACCTTCAGGTGTGTTAACCTCCCTTTTATGAATCAATGCCATTGACTCAAACTCTGGATGAACTTCAGGTGTGTTGCCTGTCATTGGAAAAAGACAAGATTTGAAAGTCCTCAGCCCTATTTTGTAAGTGCATATTGCCACCCCAATCACTTCTAACTCCAAGTACAGGGCTTCTACTTGTCAGGCAAGCCAGTCCTGAAACACCCTCTTGTGGTCACTGGGGGGTTTGAGCATGCCACCACCTCTGAAGTGGCTGGTAACTCTACTGCCATTATCCACCTCCACCTTGAGTCTCTGGAGCTTGGCCATGCCCCTGTGCATATCCTTCACACCATGCTGCAGGGATATTTCACACAAGACACCTACCACTTTTCACAACTGCCCTTCAACTTTGCCACTGAGGAGTCCAGAGCTGCCTATGACACTGCAGCATCAAAGCTAGCTTCAAGTCTGACTACCTTTGCTAAGGTAGTCATTTTCCTTACTACCCATACTGATGAAGACAGGGGGAATCTGTTCTCTGGAACAGAGAATAAGGTTCCAATAGCCACAGAGGTCTTTGAGGTAAGTCACCATTGTTTGACTGTCACTCCCATCTGATCAGTTGCAGTTTCTG